CCCGCAGCCGGGAAAACCCTTTCCAAGCAGGGAGGCGGCTCTGTGCGTGCGAGAGCCCGTAACAACGGGGCAACCGCCGGCAGCACGACCCGGGGTCGATGCTTGTGGCCAGCTCCCCGTTTGCAGGAGCGCTGGGGATGTTCAGCTCTAGCCACCTCGCCGGGGAGCTGGCCCAGGAATGGCAAGAAATGAGGCTTATGTCCAAGCCCTGGGTGTGCGCAAATCACAGGGAGATTTGGTGCTGGGAAACATTTCTACCAAATAACGCCAGATGCTGCCTCAAAGGCTGTGGCTGGTCGGGGTGGGGATAGAGCAGCTCTTGGTGCGGTGCATCGTGGCACAGCAGCACACGGCAGCCGTGGGCTTTCGATGGGGAAACACGAGTGATTTTGGCAAGCGGGGAGAAGGCGGAGGAGAAAACACTTGGGTGAAAGGGAAGGCTGCGTTTAAAGGTTAACACTTGCCCCGGGAGAGAGGAGTCGAATGTCTCTACTCTTAAATAGCATTTGCTGACGAGGTTGTCTCACAGCTATTTGGTTTGGTTTTTTCTTAAAAGACCAGTTGTGACCCTTTTTTTCCACTGTACTTGCTCACAACCCTGTTGAGTAGGGAGTCTGGTAAACATCATTGTGAAATCTCAGGTCGTCACCACCTTCCCAGTGCGGTGCATTAGTTCACACCTCCCACACTCATTGCGTTTCTTTAATACAGCAAGAAAAACCTGGCACAGCATGAGAATGAGATTACGGCAGAAAAATACTTTCCGCTAAATTACCGCGGTGTTTTGACTAACCTCAAAATCATACCATCCCTTTCTTCCTGGTCCCTTACTTCCCCGAGATGTGTGCATGAGGGGTTTTTGCATCCTATTAAAACACACGTGTGGAGTCCCGGTGCGTTGCTGCGACAGGAGCGCAGGGCTCCAGCACCCAGCGCATGGGGTTGCCCTGTCCCCTCCAGGCCCTGAGCCCGTGATATGCTGAAGGGTGACTTGTTCACAGCGTATTTGCTTTATATCACCAAAAAGGTCGCGGGAGGTAACCTGGGAACTGCTGCCAGCTCTGAGCTTCACCAATCCCTTCGGCACAAAGCCGCATCCATTGCTGCCCAGATGAGGCAGCTCCCAGTTCCAACCAGCCAGTACTGCGGAGCTGAGCACCAGTCCTTAGCATCACTCAGGGCTGTGCCAATCTCCCGGGCACCCCCCGAACTCACCAGTAACTTTGCACATCTGCAAAATGCGGTGGGGCCATCGATGCGCCGGGGCCGTGCCACCCGGCACCTCGCAGAGCATCGGCAGGCGGGTGTTTCTGCTGCGCTGTGAAAGGCAGATTTTAACGCGGGAGCTTCCCCGGCGCTGGTGCAGAGCAGGCAGGATGGCGTGGTCCAGGTTCTGACCGTGCGTTAGTTCACAGCCTCACCAAAAGCCCCCGTGCAATCACCGCCACTGCGGAGCCCCTTCCCGAACGCTCCCGCCGACCAACAGCCGATGGCGTGGCAGAAGGTACTTCTGGGAGAATAAAAGGGGCACGAGGTTTCTGGTTAACAGCCCAGCAATTTCTTCCCCGTGTGGTGGCTGTGCTCTGTGCCGTGCCGGCGGGAGCAAGGCTGAGCGAGGTGGCAGCCAGTGGTGGCAGTGCCCGGGGGTCCGCAGGGACCCTCGTGGAGCGGGCGGAGGGGCTGCCTCCGCGAGCGCTGGCGGGTGCCTCGGGATTTCACCACGCGGAGGAGAGGGGAGCTGATCTCTGCCCTCCTGCTCTCCGTCACCCCGAGCTGCGCTGGGGACAGGTCGGGAGGGAGAGACGCCCCTGCTCTGGCTTTTTGCTGAGCAGAAACAGGAGGAAGGAGGGATTTACTGGGCTATAAACGCTGCAGATGTGCCAGCTGTTTTGGGGACCACAGCAGTACCCGCTCAGAGGGCTGTGCTCACTGCAAAGGTAACCATAGTCAGAGCCCTGTCCCTCTGTTAAGCCTTTAACAGAAAAAGGTACAGGCTGAAACCCAAGCGTTTGACTTTTCGGCTGATACCAGGGAGGCAGAATAACACCCCTGGGCTGTGCCTGGTCCCCCTGCGTTTCCTCTTCCAGTTCACAGGAAACAAATTTGCAGCTCTTTGCTCTGCAGGACGTGGGACGGTGGTTTGCAGCTGCACCAGGCACATGGTGCCAGCAGCTCAGCCCCACAGCTGCAGCCCCGTCCCCAAATGCATCGCTGGGGAGGCAGCGGCCAGCCATTGTCCGAGGCTGAGAGTGCCGCTGTCAGCTCACAAGAACTGCTTGTTCCTCCCAGGCAGCCCCGCATCTGTAGCCCGGGTTTCTAGTGAGATAAGAACTTGTTTTCTCCGGAAAGTTTCAGGGGAAATGAAGTGGCTTGTTTGAGTCAATTTGAGAGCCAAACACTCTTTGCTTGTCAGAGAGCCATGGGAAAGTCCTGCAAGATGCCTCCCGCATCCCTGCAGCATCCTTTCTCACGTCCCTGCACCATCCCTGCAGCATCCGCTCTGCATCATTGCAGTGTCCCTGCAACATCCTTCCTGCATGCCCCAGTATCCCATATCCCTTCCACCAAACCCTGTGCCAGCTTCAAAAGGTCAGGGGGAATTTCTCAAAAGTTTGTTAAAATTGGCATGATTTCTTTTGGCGATCGCCTGAAGGAGGGTTTGGTGCTGAGCTTGACAGTGTGATATTTTCTGTGGCTCCTGCTCCTCTCCGCAGTGAGCAAATCGCTGCAGGTGTTGGTGTTCGCAGGCAGCGACCGCAGCGGGGAACCGAGACTGCTCCAACCCGACATGTTCTCAGTGCTGGAGCGGGGAGCTGGCAGCACCGCTGCATTGAAAGGAAATTAAATCTGCCTTGTTGTTCAAGATCAGTGATTAAACTTGCCGCAGTACCCTTAACTCTGCCCACTAGAATGCATTAAGTAAGAGGTCTTCACGGGACATGGAGATATTGGGGCTGAACAGAAAAGAATGAGGACTGGGAGAGGATGACAAACATGGGCGCAGGTCCCCCATGCCCAGTAGGAGATGAGGAACTCTTGTCTTTGATACAAAATGCAGCTGTGGGGAATTTAGCCTCTCCCACCTGTGAGCTGAGGCCAAGCCCCAGTGCTGGGGATGCTCCTGGTTCCCTGCTGGGGATCACAGCTGAGGGCGATGGAGTCCTGAGGAGCAGTGCAAGGTGGTGGGGAGCTGCAGCTGCAGCGTATGAATCCCCAACTCTATAAAGCCCAGAGGGATAAGAGAAGATCTCTTCTCTGGAAAAGAGCACCAGGGGTGGGAAGCCAATGCTCTTCCTTCCCCATATGGCAGTCCCTTTCCCAGCCTCCTGGTCCAGGTATGAATATCCTTAATGTGGTTTGGGAGAGGTTTTGCGATGTTGTGGTTTCCTGCTTTTCTGCCTCTCCTGTGCCTTGGCAGGCTGCTCCGAGTACCTTTTTTTTTGCCTTAGTGTAGGTGCTTATGGCCAGCTTTCTGTGCTTGGATGTGACTGCAAGGGCTGGTTGCTTGATGGGAGCACTATGGGGTTGTGTGTGGAGAGCAAAAGACCTTTGCTGGATATGTGTGCTGCAGCTCCAAGGGATTGACTTTTCTGCAAACCATGGCATGAAATTCTGGTGCTGTATGAGCTGCTGCACAGCTCTGCTAGACGTGAGTCTGGGCCAGTGTGGGACCCCCATATCTGTTCTTGCATTTTGGTGAGCTCCTGGTGTGGGTGGCAACATCACCTTGATGCTGTTGCATTGGCTTCAGTATGGAACACCATGATCTTGGCTTGGCCACGTGGGGTTATATGAGGGGTTGTGGGGACAGGGTTTGGGAAGTGACCATGTGCACCCAGGGCCACGAGGGAGGCAGCAGAGCACGGGTGGGGCTTGGGGACCACACAGCTTAGGACAGGGCTTCAGCATCACCTCTGAGCCTTTTCCCAGGGCCGGTGGTGGGGCGGCCTCTTCCCCGCTAGCAGCAGTGCTAGTGGTGTGTCCCTGAGGAGCAGCACCCGTTGGCTTCATCTCGGCACCTGCAGCCTGAGTCTGTGGCTTTTACTGAAGCAGCCCTGAGCTAGGGACAGTGCAGGGCTGGGGAGAAGATGACACTCAATAGCACAAAATCATTTATTATTGCATTCTGCTGCCTGGTCTGTAACCATAAGAAAATTGTGTAACTGCTCCCTGGGCCTCCTGGTATGGGTGTTCCCTCAGTAGCATCTCTGGTGGATGATGTGTGGGCCTCTCTTCATCCGACTGGTCCCTTTGGATTCACTGTCTGGAAGCTCTTGAGAGAGGTGAAGGTGGACACCCCATCCTTGCTGGGTACCTCCACAGCAGTGTGGTGGCCACCCCAGCCTCAATGTTGGGGGGCAGGCATTGGAGGATCTCGCTGCAAAACCTCCTCTCTAGCCTCTTAGAGAGGACCCTCTGCACAGGAGGATGCTTTTGCACATTGTTGACCTGATTTCTTTTGGAAGTGGGTTGAGGCTTCTCTGGGTCATGTCATGGATGCCCACATAGGAAATTCCCCACTTTGGAGGGTTGAAGAGCACTTCTGGGCACTGAAACCTCTCCTTGCTGAGGCTGATGGTCTGGCCATCAGGCAGGGGAAAATCCAGGGCGCAGCTGACTAGCAGGAGCTGGCATTCACTCTCAAAGTTGGAAGCAACGTAGCAGCTCTTGTGCTGGATGTTTTCCACTATATGGGCCATGTTGTTGCTGACACAATGATGACACCGCATCCCCCAAAAGTGTCACCAGGTACCAGGAGAGGCATGACCCCACCAGGTCCATCCTCTTGGTGGCATGTGCCAAGCTGTAGCCCTCATGGACTGGCACAGCATGGCTGACAGTATAGCCCATGTCTGCCACCAGACTGCTGGTTCTGCCATGGGTGTAGATGGAGAGAACATGCTGGTGGGCAACAAAGAGGCTGGGGGAACCCAGTGATTTCAACACCATCTCCACCGTCTTCTCTTGGTGGGTGGTGAGGTTGAGCGGGGGTTCAGTGATGAGCAGCACATACTCTTTGGGGGGGATGGGGGACCTGAAATTCAATGTCAGAGGCTGCCACAGGGTTTTGACTGCTTCCCAGTTGATGATGATGATGCTGTTCTGCATTGGCTTAATTTCAGTGTCAGGGTAAAGTAAGGCTTCCTCTCCGGTGAAAACCTTGGACCTGTTTTCTCCTGACCTGGAGGCTGCACCATGGGGCAGCCCGACAGGGTGTTGATTTTTGGCTATGGGTGTCTGCTATCTGGAAAACCCTGCTTTACAGCTCCTCATGCCTGCTTCAGTCACCACTGCTCCTGTTCTTGGCTCCAGTTCCTCACTCAAGGAAGATCTGGAGGTGTTAGAAGAGATGGTGCTTAGAGACCTCAGGCCTGCCTCGTCCTGGTGATATCTGAGCAGTGGGTGAGTCCCTGCTCCTACATGGTCCTGGTCCTTGATTTGGGGAGTCTCCATCCCATGGTCCCTGCAGAGCTGGGCAGCAGTATGCCCCCCCTCCCAGGGGAAACCCAGTCTGTGGGGGGTCCCCCTCAAGTAGTTTTGGGCAGAATAATTGACAAAGGGAACTGCAACATCAGCTGGGTCTGAGGTGGTGGCAGTGGGTTCCCCATAGCTACCATGTGTCCTGGGGTCTCACCAGGCCACCCTGCCTGGCATCTGGTCAGCCCCAAAAAGGACAGAGATCCTTTTCGGAGGATCTTTTTTGGGGGAGCCTCACTGTGGGAGGTCCTGAGCAAATATCTCACCTCTCCACCCCCTTTACAAAGGGGATTGAGTTGCTCTGTCTTCATGCTGTGAAGCCCCGCTGCCCCTGCGGGCAGGCGGTTTCTCCAGTGAAAAAAAAAAAAAATGGAAAATGGGTGTCTTCCCCAAAATGCTGGAGGGCTGGGGGCAGTTGTGGCTGCTGCTGCCAGGCCTGGCACCTTCTGAATAACGGATTAGCAGGAGCGTTGCTGCAGGTGGAGAAACGTCCCTGGGACCAGGGGCTGCGTTTGCAGCGTGACATGTCAGGCTTTTCACCCAAGTCTTGCATGAAAACATGGATTCAGTGATGCTGTCCCAGGGCTGGGGCTGAGGTTCTGGACTGCAGTGAGGCTCTTTGGACCCAGTAAGATCAACTAGAAAGTGGTGGTTAAGGGGAGCAGGGAGGCACCTCTGGCCCTGCAACAGTGGATTTTCTGCCTCTGTGTCCTGAGCGTGTTTAGTGATGCCACAGTGCTCGATGGTATCGTCTGCTTTTTGGCAGGAGTCTGGTGGAAAAGTGAATGGTGCTGCCCAGCTCTGGCTCATGCCAGCTCATGTGTCCTGGGGGGTTTTGTGGTCTGCTTTTGGACTTTTTTTTGTTGTTTCTTACGTGGTTTGGCCAGAAACCAGTGCCCTGGGGGGCCTCCCTCATCGAGTACCGTGTGCCCAGAGTTGCTCCTTTGTGGCTGTGGTTCCACGTAGACAAGGAGAACAGGTCCTCATTTCCTGCAGGTCTCATCACTTGTAAAATCCTGCTTGATGTTCTTCAGAGGTGACAGCCTGCGATGGGCCAGCTGGCAGTGTGCAGCCTCTGCCTTCAGCCCCCGGGTGTTTGCTGAGCTGCTGTGGTTTAAAGAGGGGAGGTTTCCCTTGGGGCTGTTTGAATAACGTGCGGGTGACACCGCGCAGCAGGACTGGACCGCTGCGTGGCGTAGCAGCTGTCTGGCGGTTTGCAGCACGGATCTGGCTGGCTTCCACACCGGCGGTGCTGCAGGCGCGAGAGCCGACGCAATGTTGCGTCGCCTCAGTGCTCCCTCTTTCACTGATGCATTGGGCAAACTGCAAGCTGAAGCATAAAAATATAATTTCCTAATTTTCTTTCTCTTGCTGCCCCTAAATCTGGTGCTTTTTACTGGAGAGGAGCGGGCATGCTTGTGCAGAGGACAGAGGAGCCATCAGGCCCAGCAGTGGCTCAGAGGGAAATTTGTATTTGCTTCTTGCAGGCTGGTGGGGGTAAAATAAAATTCAGCAATTGTTGTGCTGACAAAATAAAGCTTTCGCTCCTGATAAAGCAACCGTTTCATAAATTAAATTCCTGGTGCAGTGCGGCTCTCCTGGCTGCCCCAGGCTAAAGTCACTTCGTGGAGCAGGGCAGGAGAAGGGCTCATGGGATGCAGCGAGGTGGACGTGCCCTCGACCATGGAGCTGTGAATCCTGGCAGGGGAGCTGGGGCAGGTGCTATCGCTGTCTGTGCTTGGGCTGTGTGGTCGGAATCCTGCTCTGGACAAGGCAACTCGGGTTGTTCAGGTTCTCCTCTCTGTCGATGGTGGAACAGGATGGAGTTCTGCTGTTGGGAAAAGGTGCGGGGTTGGTGCTGAGAGCAGGAGGTTAGAGAGGTGTCTGAATGTGTGCCCTTGCTGAATAGTGCCCTTACTGCACAAAGGGCTTTTTGATGACTGCTTCCAAAGCAAATGGAGCATTTTTCTATCTAGAAGAGCCAAACTGAATAGGAATTTCTGGGGAGAATGATGAGAAGCAGCTGAATCTTTTATTGCTGCAGTTCAGGCTTGTTTCCAGTATTCAGCACAAAATGTTTAAAGAGCTGAAAAGGAGACTGGTAATCTGTCTTTTACTAAGCAATAATTACCTAGGCAGTTCTGGGCAGGTCCACCTAGCCCCATGGTGGGAAAAGAGGTGACCAGGTGCTGCCAGATGCCCGTTTGCACACTGGTAGCAGCGGAGACTCTGGGTTGAGCCACGTGAGGACACGTACAAGGACAGAAATGCTGAGGAACAGCCCTGCTGCATCTGCAGTGTGAGGCCGAAGATTGTGCTGTGGGGAAAGCGACCGTGGAGGGTGGTGCTGCAGGCAGGCGTCGATGGAGCTGGGACCAGGGCAGGTCCCTGATGTCACGATCAGCCTCTTCACCTGCTTGCTCTGCCCTTCCCCAGTCCCTGCCTGGGCCAGGTCACCATGCCAGAGGCTGAGCCACCTGCGTCACTGCTGGCTTGGCCTGGCCCCAGCAGCCTTGCCGGGGGCCCCTGTTTGGAAACAGCAGCTCCATAGCAAATGTGGGCAGGTGTCCAACCACAACATAAAGCGCATTGCGACATGGCGTGAGGGATGCTGAGAGGCACCGTGGTGTGTGAGGGCTCCTTCCTTTTGGAAAACAGCCCTGCAGGGCAGCTCAGAGGCACCGGCCATCCCCATAGAGTGCTTGAGCTTGGCCTTTTCTCCCTGCAAGCTGCTGCTGCTTTCTCAGCTCCTCAGCCCCTTTCCCCCTCTCAGTTGTCGTGATGCCCCTTCAGTGTGTCTCAGCTTTGATTTTGGCTCTCTAGTTCTTGGGGTTGGGTTTGGGGACCAGCTGGCAGTGCAGGGGTTTGACTCCGCTGCCCGTGGTGACAAAGGTGTGTGGGGTTGGACGTACGTGGCACATCCTGGTGCACCAGTGAGCACTGGTGGCTGTGCCAGGGAGAGGGGCTGTAGCTGTTCGTGCAGGAAAGGCATGTTTGCAACAGCTCCTTAGGAAATGGTGTTACTGGGGTGGTTGTCTTGGTTTTTTGGAGTCCCTGCAAGCAGGTCGGTCAGAGCTGGGTCTTGATGTGCTGCATCTAAGCTAAAGCTTTTCTAAATAACATCAGCTATGGATGCCTTTCTGTTGAGCAGACACAAATTCACCCTGCTGCTCTCAGGTTTGCCCTGGGGCTTGGGGTGCTGCCTGGAGCTCCCCTGGGAAACTGCTGTGTTTTCTGCCTTCCCTGTTGTCCCCAGGGCCGGACAGGACAGTGATGCCAGTGCAGGGGCTGCTGGTCTGTGTGCTGGGCTTCTCCTGTTCCCAGCAAACCTGTGGCAAGAGCCTGGGGGAGGAGGTGATGGTGGTGTGGCTCGTGGTGCTGAGAGGCAGCTCTTCTCCTGTGGCCATGGTGTAAATAAAATTCAAACCCCCTAGGAAACAGCTCCATAGTACCTTCCTCTTCCAGCATGTTCTGGCTGTCACATCTCTGCACCTTGTGCTGTGCTATTATTAGCATCACTCATGTTTTTTGAGAGTAAGGGGCTCCATGGTGAAAGGGGAGCAGGGCACTGGGGTCCCAGGAGGAAGGCCATGGAGATGCAGCAGGGACAGTCGGCTGAAGATTTGGGGCTTTGCTCAGGACTGACAAGTTGGGAGCTGGTGTGCTAATGGCTGGACCCTGCCAGCCCTGCTCTGTCAGGCAACTTTTCTGGAGTGCCTGCTGTTGGAGGCTGAGCCAGGATGTCCTTTCTGCTCACAGTGCTCCTGTCATGCGATGGCTGTTGCAGCCAGGGCATGCTGGGTGGCATGGAAACCTGCAAAGGTCTTTTGCAAGCAGCTGTGAAAGTTTTTAATCTGATCTTGCTGACATAATATTGGGTGCTTGAAAACCTTTGAGCAACCAGTTTCTAATCCTCTGTATTGGAAACTCCATTCTATGCTGAGGAACCTGACCTGGGGGATGATCTGGTCCAACCTGCCGCTGGGATGCTTTACTTTGAAAGTAAAAAGCCACTTTGATTGTGTGGAAACATTGCCTGCAATGGAAGGATTAATGACTGATCATGGCTTCGTTAATTCTAATTCTAGTGCTTTCACTTTCAGTGGAGTTAATCTAATGATAGTATCAAATAATTACCTTGATATCAGCACTATCTGTGATCTGCAGAAAATTGAGGCACACAACAGGTTCTCTCGGGGAAGTCTGGCTCAGGTGGTCTGGAGGGGCAATAAAAGCTCCTCAACTCCAATATCAGACCCTACACTTTGGGATGCCCAAGACAACTGAGGAGCAGAAGCTCAGGGATTTCGGTAAGGCAAAAGTATTTTCTGTTTTGGGATGAAAAGTGCTGCTGCAGAGGAAATGCAGTTTCTTGGCAATAAACATTGCGTTTATTCAACTGAAATCTGTATCTCAAAAGACACAGGGTGACTGTATTGCACTCAGACTTAATAAGGTGTATTTACATAATCTCTTGACATCTTTTTAAATAAATGAAATGTTTCAATCAGTTAAGATATTTACACTTTAAAAGATAAATTGGGAAAAAGCTAAAATCTAGGTGAAATTTTTAAGTTTACAACAATCTAGAAATTGGTATAATTTTAAGCTTTTTGCTGAAAACTGACATTAACACTGAAGAGCCTTGCAAACTGCAGTTCCTGGTAGTCTTTCTTTTCTGTTGATTGTGTAATATTTGTATAAAATACTGCAGTGTGTTAAAATATTTTCCTCGACATCTGTGGTGTTGACAGTTTCCCATAGTATGAAAATAGCTGTGGTAATAGTGAAAAGATTTGCCTCAAGAGAAGACAAAATGCTAAATATAATTTATTAAACATTTTTCTAGTACTTGTAAACATTTTTCCTTCATCAGTGAACAAACAGGTCTGTGAACACAGACTTCATCTGTTATGTCAATGGACTTTTCTTGTGTTCAGATGTGGGAAGTACACCCCATACGCGCCCTGTTGAACCTGGTATAGATGTGACTTTCTTCTTAGACAAAAGACAATCTGGTGGGAAAACGAAAAATATTAATGGCAAAAAAAAAGTCTGCACTTTGCCCTTCATTAGTTGCCTCTAAATGATGTTGCCAGGTGGGGATGGAGGGACCATGAACAAAATGTTTGCCTAAAGCTGCATCAGCAGGCACTAGCACAGCCTCTAGTTTTGGATCTGAGGTTTTTCCTCTTCTAAATCTTGCTGACACTGATTTTTACTCTTAAACCTCTAAGGACAGTAATCCATGTTCTCTGTAGACTTAGCTGTTCTCTTCCAGCTGGTGCAAACCAAAGGCAGCTGCTTTTGAAACAGTACTATTAAGATGCTGTCCTGCATCAAATCAGCACCAGAGATCAGAAGAGGATCTGCTCTGCCCTCTCTGAGGGTACGCAGCTGGAGTATGGCCCTGCAAGGCTGCTACAGTCTGTATGTTAAGAGCATTGAATACAAAATTCTGAATGGAATTCCTGCAGGTTATTAAAAATTTCATCTTCTGCATTCCCGTACCTGATCATTCTGCAGATATTTGAATGGGTAAGAGGTTTAAGAAATGCTGCAGAAGATCCCCTAATTCAACCTACTTCTCATCTTGATGTTTGCCTTACCTTTGGTCTTATATTTTTCTCTCTGCAAAGGACTATCTCATTCATGGTTTGCTGCTTCCTTTCCTAGAAGATCTACTTCGGTGATTATAAATACCCTTCCCCATCCTTCTGTACGCAAGTCCTTGAAAGAGTTGTCAGCAACTGAAGGAGGATTTGGCGTACCATTTGCTGGTACTGCTCCCACTGGCCTTCTTGTGGATGTGTCTGTCCCTCCTGCAACTCCCAGACGGCTGGGTACTGCCATAGTCAAGTTAGAAGTAGGACAGCACAGGGGTCACTTACCAGGAAGCATAACAAGATGAGGAGAATGAAGCCAACCAGGCTGAAAATGCAGATGAGGATAATTGCCCAGAACTGGAGTTCTGCAGAGGCAAAATAAGGACATATCAGTTTTTTGGATTCCTGTACGTGGGACAGAGGGAGATCTTGCCCTGGCAAAGTTCAAAAGTACTGTACAGCACATGTGAGGCAAAATGGCTGAAAGGTGGCATCTGGCATTCCCTGGCTGCAGGCAAGTATGCCCCAGCAATGCGAAGATGTGTGGGATGTACAGAAACTTTGGTAAAATGGAATGAGTGTTCAAGGATGTACAACTTTAAATGCTACCTCAGTGTTAGAGCCCTCAGATGGTTTCAGGGGTGTTCAGAAAGACAAAATTCTCTCTTTGGGGAAGGGGACAAGGCTAAGGACATCAGCAAAAGCTGCAGATACTTTTGCCAGCATGTTTGTGGTGCATAGAAAAGCAACAGTTCAGAGTACTTTTTTCCTGCTGTTTAGTGTTAGTTCTGGGGTTGTGGCTATGCTCACAACACTGTATCTGGATTTTTTTGTAAGTACTGCAGTTATCAAAATTTATTGGTGACGGAGCTCCAAAATAGCTTCCCAAATTGCATTGCCTTTGCCTGTCCTTCACTTCTATTTTCCTCAGGCTAGCTGGTTCTGACTGGCCCCTGCTATTTGCCAGGCTACCAAGAGTCCTAGGTTTCTGGGCTCTCGCTCCGTTTCAAGGTACGTGATGCTAATTTACTGTAGTTCAAGTATTCAGTGGCTGTAGGGTGAATCCCTCCTGAAAAGCACTTACCAGATCTTTCAGACTCCTGTTCATCTGTTTTGACTGGAGAGTAACCTGGAAATAAAGGGTGGGACAGGTGAGAAACAGCATTCTAGAGGTGATTAAAACTAAACTAATAAGCATTCCTACAGTCACCTTCAACAATCAGACTCTGATCTTCCAGCTCAAAACTGAGGCCCAGCTTGGTGAAGCCGTGCGTCAGCCGTTTCAGCTCCTCATAGAAGTCTTGCTTTTGTAAAGCCTTTGAGAAGGGGTCCACTGTGAATTTGCAGATAGAGGCAACGTTTGTGTAAGCTTTCCTGGGGACAGGCCTGGAGGATGAGAACCAGAGTCATTACAGGGCAAGAGCAAATGAAGTAAAGCTGAGTAGAGGCAGGGAGATGGATTCAGAATCAGGCTTGAGTTTGCAGATATCCAAGCAATGTTTTATTAGCCTGAGACCAGTTTTTGCAGTTTATGCTAGATGAGACAGGAACTCACACAGCCCTGTGAAATCCACCCACTGATTTAATCCCAGGTGAGGCATAAGAGGTAAATCAGCTCAGGTGTTTTTGTTCCTCCAAAGAGGTGTTGGAGAGGACACATGGAAGTAGATTCTGTTCTCAGGCTGGTCAGTTCTGATGATGGTTTTGCTAATGTGTTTCAGTGGTGTTATAGGTTTTGAATAAGGTAAATGAGATAATGTATTTTTTACTCTGGAATTGCTTATGCATGAAAATAGCTTTGCTAGCATGGAAATAAAACAACCTCTCATTTGGACAGAAACCTTTTGTGGTAAAGGCAAACCTGAGTGAATGAAGGTGCCTCTTGTGTGTCATCCAGAGTACAAAGGTTGGCAATGAGGCATAAACACCATGCTGTGGCTCTGAATGCCTTTTCTGCTAACTGCTTTTTTGGGACTCAAGAAAAAAAACCCAAAACTTCTGAAGCAGGACATACCCAAAGCTCTCAACAGTACAGCCAGCGAAGCAGTCCTTCAGGCTGCTAGTTCTGAATACATCAAGCTGATGGGAAGAAACAAAACAGTTGAGGAAAATTGAGTAAATCCTTAATTTAGACAGTGAAATCAAGCTATTGCTGTTAGTTTTACCCCTTTCTCAGTTTTCTCCTTGTTCACTTGGTACATCTGTGACCTGGAGTCCTGCAGTTCTGGGGAGTAGGGAAGGTTGGAGATTCTGAAATTTAATCTGATGTTTTCTTTCCCAGTCTTGAGGGGGGTGTTGTAAGTTGCTGCCTCAATTGCTAGTTCCAAGCCTGGAAATGGAGAGGAAAAGTTGTTGTAAATTCTAGCAGAGAGAAATAGAGGCTTTTCTACCAAGCAGTACTGACCTGCACACTTTCACCTAGGAAAACTTGATGTCTTAATAGATTAACAGAACTTCAGTTGCACTGAAGTCTAACAGAAAATTCCTGGTCTACCCTTTGAGTCAGTCCTTCAGCAATGTACTAGGGCCAATCATTTATTTGGGAAGTTTTATGTTTGAAAAAAAGCTAAAAGTCTGTTTATCTCTAAATGCTTGAAGTTATGGTAAGTAGTTACCACTTCATTTTCTTATTTAATATTAACACCTTAAGCCATTGAGGACTAAAGGGCTACACTGAGCCAGACTGAATGTCTGTTCAGTGATTCAATGATAACAGATTTATATCTACACACATCCCCTCTGACAGAACAGAAATTGGGGAATTTGGAGTATGCCATAGCAAAGCGCGTTGATCTGGGTATAAATTGGGCAGCTGTGATTCGAACTCTACATACTGTCTACTGAGAATCCTTGCAGCTGGTAACTGCTTCCCAGCCACAGTCCAGTTGCATTCCAAGTGCCGTTCTGAAAAGCCCTTTCAACCACAGCCCTGTTGATGCTGGGCTCTGGTTTGAAGAAGCACTTGCAGTTGACCACTATGGATCCAGTCCTGTGGGCAGAGAAACAGAGGTTCTGGGATAAATAGGTTGATCACAAAACTTCATGTGGGAAAGAATTTCCTGAAGAGTTCCTGCTATTCTGAGTGTTAAGTGTTTTAAGCTATTGAGACATGTGGAACAGGCTGCTTTGGCCTTTTCCTTTGGCCAAGGACAGCAAGTGCAATACCACTGCCCCTTCTCTCTGCAAACTTAAGGTTATGCTGCATGCATACAATGAATGATCAGCACTTTTTAAAAAGCTTTTACCCTGTGTGAGTGTCCCTTGTCCAAGCCTCTTCCCATCTAGAGTTGGGCACTACAGCTATGCATGAAGCCTGCTTTTAAAACCTACTGGAGTCCAAGTTGGGAGGAGGAGGGCAGAGGTGGTAGGGTCACCATTCAGTCCTCATTAAGAGGTAAGATTGCTGATGGTAATTACTGGGGTATTGAGAGACCTAACAGTGCCTTACAGAAATCCTGACTGAGACTTAGAAAAATGTGAGTCTGTACCAAGTCGGGGCGGGGGGAGGTGGGGATCAAACTGGTGAATTCTGGGAAGCCTGGAAATTACTTGGGGCATAAACCAAATAATTTCCAACACAAGAATGGAGGTGAGGAATTCTGCAGAGGACAATGGCACTTGGCCCTTGGGAGTGGTGCCAGGGTGTGGCAACCTTTCAGACAGAATTGGAGTGTATCACAGACCTCAGCCTTGTGATACTGCAGTTCAGGAACTGGTCTCGCAGGCTGCTCTGAAGGTATAGTTGATTCATCTGAAATAAAAATGTCATGTTAAATATGAGTGAGTTTTGGGCCTCACGGTAGATGCTTTAGGGCAGCAGAAGGCTTTGGAGAAAGACAAGATTTTTTTTGCTAGTTAGTTTTCATTGGAGCTGGATTTTAATTCAGAATATGCCTTCTGGTGATGGAGTTTGAATTCTAGCTTGGCAAGACTTTCTGTCTCTTCTGAGCAAGCTGCCAGTGTAAACCAGCACAATCTGCTGACTGACAGCTGTCATCTTGATCCACATTTCATGGACAGTGCAGACTCAGAACTCAAAGTACAGAATGTTACAGATTTATCTAAAAAGCAAAACCTACCTAGTTAGGGCTTTATCAGATTGATATGTTGGAGGATTGGTGCTGAAGAGAATGTGTTGGATTATCAGCGATGAATTATGTATGTGCTGACCTCTGAGCTGCCAGAGATTTGTATATGCTTCTAGAGATGGCACTGAAATGTTGAGTGTGTGCATTTAACAGATGACCTAAACCTCTTGCATCTTGTAGTGCATGTCTTTGGCAATAATTTAAGACCACATTTAACAACAAATTCAAAAGTTATTCAAAGGCCAATCTCATCTTTTAGATTCTAGAAATTTTTGTTCCCAAATGTTGATTTTTTTTTTTAAATTAAAATAAGTCTATGGAAGTTGCTGTAAAAGTTGACCGATACAGACATGATGGTATTTGAGCTGCAGTTCCTTACCTTGTTATTGATGCTTTCCACTGCTGCTTTGTATTCTGGAGACTGAGAGTCTGGGTTAGTTAGGTTTTCATTGACTATTCTAAAGCTCAATCTGTAGCCCAATTTGGCTGGAGCTTCAGTCAAGACAGGCTTTCTGGTGATAGCTGTGTCTGTGAGGGGAAAACCTAAACAAAAAAGGTAGAGTGTATTTTTACATCAGACCTATCCATACCACAAAAGCAATATAGGTATGTGTCTGTTTATATAATGTAACAATGAAATTCCCCAGGAATTTGTATGATTTAAGGGACAGAAATGCTTCTACAATGGCAATATCATACTGGATTGGTTTTGTCATAGTGTTAAAACCTACAGAATACCAACTAACCAAAGGTGAAGTCCATTAGGGCTCAAGCCCCAGTGGAGTGGAATAATGAGGAGTGACCTCCAAGTGATCCCAAAATCACCTTTTGATACTGTTCATGGATGCTTACCATTGATGTACAGGCTGTTCTTCTCCAGGCTGTAGTGCCCTAGTTTGGTGACACCATTTGTCATGGTTCTCAGCTCATGATAAACCTTTTCTCTGTCAAATCTGCCAAGGCTGACATTGTTTTTGTAGCTGCAGACAGCATCTACGCCTGTATGGTCATCCCTGTCTCCCACAGACCTAAGTGAAAGTCGGACACATTCTTTAGGACACTGCTGATGCTTACAGGACACCCTGTGTAATTTTTGACTAGGAACAACACACACTGAAAGCTATCTGTGCATTTGGGTTCCTACATTTTTCAGCAGATTCTCAAGAATTGCAGCAATGACATTTAGATACTAAATGATTCTACCAGCAAGAAAATCATGAACAGACAGGGAGGTGCCACTGGCTTCTGTTTTCTGGCATCAGAACTACTATGATAACTTATGCAAACTTAAGGTTTATAAGAGCAGATAAAGAAATGGTTAATTGCACTTTCAGGAATCTTACCTAAATCTTATCACTTCACATCCTGTGTAGGCAGAGCTTATGCTGCTTCTTTTGAAAAGAGGGTCAACCTGTCAAAAAATGTACAACTGAGAACTTGAAAACATGTCCTGGGTTTAATGCAGGCAGATTAAAATCACTACCATTATACAAAATGGGCAAAACAAGAGCCAGACTTACATAATGGTTGATGACTTTCACTGTGGAAACGAATTTGCGAGAGCTTGGTGCATCCAGATCTGCAGTGTACTGGAGGTTGGTCAAGGTGAAATTGAGTGTGAAATGCCTGGATGTTGGGCTTGGTGCAGTGGTTATGCTCAGAGCTGTAATCAAAGGGGAAGAGGATTATGATCATACCATCCAAAAAGCAATCTTTGCCTTCAAAGACATTCCCAATCCTAGCACACTTCAAGGCTACTCTAAAGAATCTCTTCCCCTCTTATTTTTGAATGCACCACTCCTTTGATAGCTTTGCCTGGAATGAGTTTGGCAAAACACTTACATGATCTCTCAAGTGGTTCATTGTAACCTGGAAAGGAAATGCAAAAGAAACATTGTATAAGAGAACTATACACTTAAGAGAATGAAAGAGAAGAGGGGATGATTAAATGGATAACTTGGGAATGAATCATCAGAACCAGTCCCCAAGGGTGTGAATCTATTAAATAAACAACCTACTGTTTAAGCAGAACAAGGTGCTTTTATAATAGTGAAGACTACAATGAGAAAATATGGGCCAGTCTAAATTAAAAACTGGTGGGTTAGAAATCAGGTGAAATGTTCATATGCAGGTGAATGACTGGGGTCAAGACTAAAATTGTGTCACTCTTCAATGTAATACAGAAATTAAAATCTTCAAAAATGTCTATGTGAAAATGCTCTTGGAAGCATACACTTCATCTTACACAAATTATGCAGTAAACCCCAGTGGGACTGCCTTTTCTGTAAGGTCACTACTTTTTTGTTTTACATTGATGTGCTTCCTAAGGTCCAAGGTAGCATCAAACTGCTCTAGTGCCTGGAGGAATGAGAAAAGCACTTACCATTGATATAGAGGCTTTTGCTGTCCAGGTTATAGATTCCTAATTTGGTGATGCCATTTGTCATGCTCCTTAGTTCTTGGTAAACCTTAGCTTGGTCAAACTTGGGCACTTGGGAGCCATTTTCATAGTTGCAGAAGGTGTCAACTCTTGTGTAATCCCTATTTCTCACTGACCTGAGGAATTGAATATCATGAAACTTCCTAGTTACTCAAAATCTGGGTTTTTTTCTGATGTGATTAAGAAAACCCAAAACTATTAAAATCTGTCAACAATTCTCAGATGAACTGCAGAAATTACTGGGACAGGATATTACAAAGAAAAAGGCTTTGTAAGATAAGGACCATACAAAAGTGCATAGAAACTTTATTATAATGATGCTGACTTGTTGAAAAAGGAACTGTTAATAGTTAAGTGTCAGTCAAACATAAGGAAATCCATTTGCAAAAGTTCAAAGTTAATCTTTCAGCTATATTGCTCACCTGAATTCTGTTACTTTGCAGCCGGTGAAATAGGGGCCAATGCTGCTCCTCTGAAGCAGGGGGTCAATCTGACAAGAAAAGGCCTTTGTGAGTATGAGAAACCCAAGATACTGGGTGATTTTGGTGAAAAACAATGTGACTTTGGCTTACATAATGTTGCATTATTTTCTCAGTAGAATTGAATTTAGAGGAATTTGGTATCCCTAGGTCTGTTGTGAACCTGAGGTTGATTATTGTGAAGTTCAGTATGAATTGCTCTATTATTGGTCCTGGGATTTGTGTGGTGGTTGGCTTCACCACTGTAAGAGAATAAAAATTACACAGATAAAATAAGAACAAGATCTTCATAAGACACAGTATTGTTACTATTTTTCTTTACATTAGAGCAGAAAAAACATGAATGTGATCACACACTTCAGATACTTTGCAATCTTATAAGCATTTCCAAATGGAAAACGAAATCAACTTATGCCTTTGAGTAGCTTTAATACGTATCTAGTTTTAAATAAACTTACGTGACAGACTATGTGGTTCATTGTAATCTGAAAAAGAAATGGACAATTATTAGGAAAACATTCCAAGAATGTTTCAGCAAGACTAAACACATGTTTTTATTACAAAAGATTCAGAATCATGGTTACTATATTCATGACTGTTACCTTAGTGACACTGAGTTTTTTGCCCTCTATTATTTATTATCTGTTTTGAGAGGTATATTTAACCCTCTTCATTCCAAAACAGTCTGTGCCAACATAAGGAATAAGGCCTTGAGGTGGTCTCATTACCAGCAATGTAGAGGCTCTGGTTGTTAAGGCTGTAGTGTCCCAGCTTGGTGATGCCATTTGTCATGTTGCTCAGCTCGTGGTAAACTGTCACTCTGCTGAACTTGGGATCTGAAGGCTCATCTCTATAGCTGCAGATGGCATCTACTCCTGTGTCATCCCTGTCCTTCTTTGACCTAGGAAATGAGGCATTGTTTTAGGATGTTTTAGTCATTACTGAGAAGTCCATCTTAACTTCTAGTAGATCCAAGATCAAAGGTGCGTATAAGAAAATCACTCAGTGACATTGCATTAATGTGTTGAATGCTGAGAAATGGGAAACAACTTTTCAAGAAGCAGGTAATGCAGACTTGTCCCAGACATGACTCTTACCTGAATGTCATTATTTTGCAGCCAATATAAGCAGGGCCAATGCTGCTTTTTTGGAGTAAAGGGTCAACCTAGAAATTTAACAACATTTAAGTAAAACATCATGGCAAAGATAAGAGATTAGTTATATTTAAAACAACTGTGCCCAAGCAGGGCATCATTTTGCCAGACTTACGTAATGGTACATGACTCTTTCTGTTGACTTGAATTTTTTAGAATTTGGCATCGCCAGATCTGCAGTGAACTGTAGGTTGGTTATAGTGAAATTCAGTGTGAAGTTCCTCACTGCTGGTGACAGAGGTTGTATACTTTGATGAACAGCTGTAATGAGCAAGGCAAATTATTGCTTGAAAATATGATTTATGATCATCATCCCTAGAAGAAACACTATAAGAAATTCTCAGATATTCTAGTTGGCTTCAGGATCATAGCAACTGTGGTTCCCTAACAGGCTCCCACATTGTCTTAACACTGTTTTAGAAGTCTAGTAGTGCTCTTGGTTGGTTAGTCCAACCTTCTTTTTTGACTACTATTAACTAGCAAAATCTTCTTGCCCTTTCACTTGCTAATTAAAGTACTTACATAGTTTAGGCTGCAGTTCATTATAACCTGTGGAGGGAAAAAAAAAGGACAGATTTGAGAAACTGGCTTACAATTTGGAAGGTCTGGCATGCAATGGAATACAGAACTTGAATTGTTTTTGAGACATCCTGTGTAAACTTTTACTAGGGAAGATGGATTTGACTGTCTAGGCATAAATGCACATTCATACTTCTGTATGTTGCTGGCTTTTCTTAGAACAGTGCACAGAATTCTCCCTTCCTTAGGGATGTTGAGAGGGAATTTACCCATTTGCTAAATCCAATTTAACTTCTATGTTGACAATTTAAGTATGACTCCTGTCAAGTGATGTCCAGTTTTAGTGCTGTTCTTCTGCAGGGGAATACATTCTGTAGTGCACCTTGAGAGGTCAATCCTTATATTTTCTGGAGAATGACCTATGGTTTATTATAATAAATTGTATTTGACTAAGTTACTTAATTCAAAGGAATAACAAGATGCAAAGGCTATGAGTGACAGTGGCTCCTCTGCTTTGGTTAGCACTTGTTCTTGCTCTCCAGGTTTTATTGCTTCAGTTAACTGTGTAGTAACTCAGTTCCTCCTGATATCAAATCAGCAGTCAGGAGAGGATTCCCTCCTGATGTCAGCTCAACCACTTACCGCTAACATAAAAACTTGCTGCATCCAGCCTGTAGGGTCCCAGCTCAGTGCAGCTGGCTGTCATCTTGCTGAACTCATGATAAACCTTGATTCGATCAAATTCAGCAGTGGTAGCATTGGCTCTGTATGTGCAAACTGCATCCATGGCAGTGCCCTCCATGTTCTTCACAGATCTGAAAAATCACACATGTGTTTGCAGGCCTGAATGACACTTCTGTGCATTAGTGTGAGTTTGCTTGCACACCACCATGGAACTGGATTTCCCCTTAAAATACTGTAAAACAATGTTATTTAATGAAAGAATGCCCTCAAATTCTGGAAATGTAGTATTATGCTGTTTTACACAATTGGAATGGCACTCTTGGGATCTCACTGAAATGCATTTAAAATTAGATTACCCTCTTTAGTGCAAAATTGGCATGAAATCAATGCAAGCATAATCAGAAGAAATTATGCGATAGCCATGCCATCACAAGGGATCATAAATGAGCTGTAATTCTACTCAGCACTCTCTAGAACTTAACAGGCTCCACAAGGCTAGGAAGAAATAAAATCAGGAAGGAATTATATGTAAAGAAAAGATTTCAATATAATCTTACTGTCAGCCAAAATTTGAACTGCCCTTGTCTTCTATAAGACTTCCAGGATGTGCCTACCTTAGTACCACCACTGTACATCCAGTGTAAGCAGGGCTAATGCTGCTGTTCTTGAGCACATGATCAAGCTGCCAAGAAAAAAGCCAGTTAAATAATCATGAATGAATAATAAAACCAACAAGAACAAAGCCACAAAAGGAACCAGAGTGACTCACCAAGTATGTCAGAATTCTTTTTGTAGCAATGAATTTTTTAGAATTTGAGTTTGCTAATGCTGATGTGTAGAGGAGATTGGTCACAGTGAAGTTCACTGTGAAATGTCCTTCTCTTGCAAGAGGAGGAGCTGGAGATGTTGCTGCAAGAGAAGCACAAGATTTGTTGCAACAAGATAAGAAATACTCATGAACCTGCTAAAGCCAGGGATAAAGAAGTTCACATCAGCTGGAATTGATGGGTGCTACACTGAACAGCCCAGTATGGAATGATGTCAGCAACAGTGTAGGGCATACAGCTGTGGAGCAGACAAGAGCTCTCCAGCTCATCCAGATTGCTACAGAAGGCCGGTTGTAGCTGAGTAGGCTGTAAACTGATGCCTGATGGCTTCAGCTGAGGAGCTAAGGCTCACTCCATTTCCCCTTTTATCCTGCCGGGTATGAAACCTGATGTCCTTTATCTGTGCTGGCCTGATAGTCTAGCTCTTTCAACCATGGATTCTTTTCACTTGTAGTGTTGCTGTTGGAAAAGAGTGAACTGCGTGTCAACATGAATTACCCTTTAGCCTTCCAAGAGTGTAATTCTGGGTTTTTACAAACAGATCTCCTCACAGAGTCTCCTCTGACCTCTTATGTACTCCTGTTCTAATTCAAATGCTTCATGAGACCTACATACCAATGGTGCTTCGTAGTTAATTCCCCTCACTGTTAAATGTTTGCACCTTATTTTTACTTCTATTTCCATTAAAAGGCTAAAAAAGAGAATGAGTAGGCAGGCATTCATATCTATCTTGTATATTGACTCTTAGGGCATCATGGCTTTTTAATTACTTAAAAGTACTTACGAGGCATGAGGTGAGCTTCATGGTAATCTGGAAGGAAAAAGGACAAAACAGTGATGAGTTACGCTGCTGAGAGAGAATAATTGAATCACATAACTGTATAGGCAAATGATGCCACAGAAGGACAAAAGAATTGCTGTTTCTGAGCAGCCACTTAAACTATTTATGGTAGTGTAGTGAGGTGCTATTTTGAAGAACGCTCTATTGTAAATGGTGGAGGAAGGTTACCAGTTTATGCTGAAATTAGTTGTCTTAGCTTCTTTTAAGATTTATATGCTGCTTTGCATGTTTTGGTGTAATTTATCAGATGTTATTTAAAATTTTAAAAATCTGCAATTGGCAATGCAAAACCTCTGAAGGTAAGTGGTTCTAGTTAGAGGAGAATTCGTGCAGATGATGGAGCTTTGTGAATTATCTAGCACATCGGTTGAGCCCAAGTATATATGCTGCAAATTCTATTCCATCTGCACGCCAGTCATTACTGAGCTTTAACAAGACGGCTATGGACTATTAGCCAATGAATATCCCCACATCCACAAGGAAATCAACACTTTACCATTGATATACAGGCTTTCCTGGTCCAGGCTGTAGATTCCTAAGTTGGTGATGCCATTTGTCCTGTTGCTCACTTCATGGTAAACAATCACTTGATCAAACTGGGAAGCAGCAGAATCTGTTTTGTAGGTACACACAGCATCTACTCCAGTGTCTTCAATTTTTTGTGCAGGTCTAGGGAAATTAGAATATATGCTGTTGTGTTCCAGAATTGAATATTCATTATATATACTGATGGGTTTTATTTTTATTTCAACCATATTGCCAGTAGAAAAGACAATGTTATTTTTTTTCCTCATAATGATTCTTTCAAGTTCGTTGTCAAAATGGTGAGAAAATACTTGACCTTCCAGATGCTGCAAGCATTGAATTCAAGAAAATTTATCAAGAGAGTTGGAAAAAAGAGTAATGATTTGACTTTCTTGAGTTTAGTGATAAATTGACAGATGTAAAAACGAATTAAGGGGTTAGGATCCATTTGTGGATCATATTACAACATGAAAAATAAAAATACACATTTTCTAAACCTAAATAATTATGCTTACCTGAAAGCCATCATTTTGCATCCGTTAAACACAGAATGAATACTAGTCTTTTTGAAGAGCTGATCGAGCTGAAAAAGAAAGTGTTTTCCCAGTTAACCATATTTAGGTGAGCACAGGATCACAGAAAAAAAGAAATAGGAATGTATCACACTAACCAGAGCGGTCAGGACTCTTGCTGTAGCACTAAACTGGGCAGAATATAGATTTCTGAGATGACTGGAGTATTGGAGATTAGTTATGGTGAAATTGATTGTGAACTTCACATTTCTTGGAAATATAGCTGTACCTGGAAGGAAAACCCAGGGAAAAGTAAAAACAAATTGGAATTACTTGATATGATAATATCTTCTACTCGCAAGGAGTGAGATAGTCACATAAAAAATAAACTAGTAATATGACTGTTGAAAAGAAAAAGTATCACAATTACACATGCTGTGGTATGTGCTGATATTTATCAGTGAAATACTGGTTTATATTCAGATGAAAAAATAATTTAGATTTACCTGGCAAACGATGTGCTTTATTGTACTCTGAAAGGGAAAGAAATATTGATAAAGGTAAATATATAAAAGTCAGGGGACAGGGACAAGAAAAACGCTTAAAAATATATTAATAGATTACAGAAAATCCATAAGAAATAAAATATACTGAAATGAATGCTATTCACTATTAAAAAATACAGAGGAAGAGGGAACGATATATATGTCTATGACATAACTTGGAAAAAACACAAGAAAAAATAAAATAAATTTTAAAACTAAAGTACAAAAAAAGATGGAAATAAATAAAATTACTAAAAGAAAAAATATGACAAAAAATAAAATTAATGTACATAGCACAACACTGGGATATATACAAAAAAGTTCACCATTGACGTAGAGGCTGTCCTTGTCCAGGCTGT